TGCGTCCTCAGTAGTTCGATTGCACTGATATGCAAATTGCAGAGGGTCTAATGTATCCGGGATGTCTTCTTTGATATGGGACATGACTATCTTCTCAAAACAGTTCATTACAACTGAAGTGAGTGCGATGGGGCATAGTCATTCAATCAGGTTATGTTGTTTTTCTTGGGGAGGGACACTATGGTGGTAGACATGAAGCATGTGGGCACAGCTGATTGGGTGAGGGACAAGTTGAAAATGTCTGTAAACACCTCAGCCAGCTCTGAAGAGCACACCCTCAAAGTCAGTCACTGTCGCGGGTTAATCCTCCTCAGAACCTTGCATACCTCAGTCGAAGTCACAGTGAGTGAAGAGCTCTGTGCTGCCCCTGCTGGTAGAATCCCTCTGTATCGGTTGGTGTTGAGTGTCGAAGCGAGCGTAGAACTCAGCTCATCTGGTAGCGTGTTGCAGCTGGAAATCACTAATGTGTTGCAGGCCCTGCCACATGCGTCAGGAGTCTGAATTGTTGTAGTGTCCGTCCAGCTTCAGTCTGTTCTGCCACTTGGCTTCCCTGATGGATCTGCGCAGGTCATATCTGGCCTTTTTGTAGCCCTCTGCGGCACCAGAGGCAAATGCAGTGGAGCGTGCATGCAGCATGGAACGTACCTCGGAGTTTAACCGTGTTTTCTGATTTGGATATGTTTTGTATCGCTTGGTGGGGACAATATTGTCAATGCATGTGCTGATGCAGCTGGTGACCACTGATGCATATTCCTCTAAATTCACAGAACCGTCCTCTCTTATGGCAGCAGTCTTAAACACATCCCAGTTTGTAGCACCAAGGCAGTCCTTAAGCACCGAATCAGTCTCTTCACTCCAAACTTTAGTAATTTTACTTACTGGGGGGCTCGTTTGAGGAGCTGCCTGTGTGCCGGACAGAGAAACAGAAATGTTGTCGGACTGTCCAAAATGCGGGCGAGGCACTGCCTTGTATGCGTCCCTTACATAGCTGTTGTTGCAGTGATTAAAATCCCTGGCAACAACAAACAGCATCTGGGTGAGCGGTCTCGTGCTTGCTGATGACGTCATGCAGCAGTCCTAGCGCTGTGGTCCAATCAGAACGCGGCGGGATGTAAACAGCCAGCAGCAGAAACACAGCACTGAATTCCCTCGGTAAATAAAAGGGTCTGCACTTCACTATCTGCGCTTTGATGTCCGCACACTAGTGATTTATATAACATTTATAGATCAGTTCGCCCGCTTATTTTAAATATTATCCTTCCTACCTTACACGTAAGTAACACAGACAGACGCAAAAATCTCAGAGCTCCCACCTCGTACACCTGCATGATGCGTTCATATTGACCCACAGTTGTGTGACGGTGTTTAAT